GCCAGCCTGGGGACTGCAGCCGCTGGAGTTCAGCGATTGCTATCTGGGTAGCCCCTGGTTCAGGGAGAGGATCCGAGCCCATGAGGCTGAACTGGAGAAAACCAACAAGTTCATCAAGGAGCTGCTGAAGGATGGGAAGAATCTCATCGCTGCAACCAAAAGTGAGCGGGAAGGGAGGAGGGGCCGGCGGGGCAGGAGCCCCATTTGGTTGCAGACCCAAGAGCGGGGTTTTGCAGGGGCAGTAATCGGCGCTGCCTAAAGCGGAGTGTTGCTAAGCGCCGTGTGATGCGGGGCAGGGGAAACATCCTCCCCTGCAGGCTTTGGGTTGCCCCGCTGTCACCCTGGGCGCGAGCTGAGCGAGGACGGCAGCTGGCGGGGCGCCTTGCACAAAGCCAGGGTTTCCTGCCGGCTGAGGCGCGGGCGGGGGGAGGTTGCAAGAGGTGCCAAGCCGCGTTCAGCTGGAAGAGGAGCCTGCCTCAGGCCGTTCTTAGCATGTTTGCGCTGCGTGTGAGGAAAGGCTTTGCTGTGAATTGGATTTAGTTCATCGCCTTCCTCACCTTTTGCTCTACTTTGCACGCCCCCCCCCCCATTCCAGCGTGAAGAAACTGCTACCTTCCTGCCCTTGTGATCGTGGGAAAGTGATAACAGGCCTGCTACTGGTAGCAGCTCCCTTTTAAGAGAGTTTTTTGTAACCTTTCTTACATCTGTGACTTCCTGGCACAGGCCTACCTTAGTGTATGTGTCTCGAGCCCATACCACGCTGTACCTACAGTGTCTATGCTACACAGTACCACCACTGCCTTTGCCTGTGTATCATCTGTCCTGAAACTTAGCTAGGGTTTGTGCGACAGGGGGGCTTACCTTCAGTGGCGCAACGGGGATGCTAAGGCAAGTTTCCTGTCTCTCCTGACACTGCAGACAACGCTGCGCCCTAGAAGCAGCGAGCAGCAGGTTCCTAGCCAATGGGAGTGTGGAGTTAGGGTTTGGGGCAGGGCCCGTGCACAGAGCCCTGTGCACTCTTGTCTCCCACCTCCACTCTATCTAGCAGCTGACCCTGCTGCCAGCTGCTTCTGGGGTGCAGCACAATGTGCAGTGCCAAGACAGGCAGGAAGCCTGTTTTAGCACTCCCACTGGTCACCTAATCCCCCTGCAGCAATGAGACCCAGTGCAGTATGAAAACTGCTGGCTTAGGGAACATAGTCCTAGCCTGCTCAAGGTAGCTGGCTAGATCAAATTGATGAAATGTCATGGTTGGGGTTTCAGATGCACAAAGATGGCTACATCATGGTTTTTGTGGGTACCATAACTCTTAGTGGCATGATTGTGTGTTTACATTCTTGTCTGTAGTGTTGCGTTCATGTAACTTCTTAAATTTTTAAGTTCAAACTAGGGATGTAATAGTATAGTCGATTAACCGATAAGCAAAAGCACATAGGTTAATGCTATAGACTACACATATTCCCCCCCCTCCCGCCGCCCTTGCCAGTAATTTTTTTAGGAGGCTGGCCAGCAGCCCAGCTCAGTCCTGGCTCATGCCGAATCCCGGATTAACCCCCGCTGCGTCTCTGCTTTTGAAGTGTATTAGGAGGCAGGCAGGCAGCCTGGCTTAGTTCCTATATGAGAGGCAGCAGTGTGGGGCAACAGGCAGCCAGTCCGCAAGGTGAGCTAGTTTTTTAAACTGGCTCCCCTCAAGGATCAGCTCCCACCTGGCACACTGCTCTGTATCAGAGGCAGCAATGCAGCATGGCAGGGGCTCCTCAGTGACACACTAGGTCCTCACTGGCTGCCGGCCCCCTCCGGGGACTATAGACTAGTTGAGGAACCAATAAGAATTCATGAGGTTACTCGACTATTCAATTAACCGATATTTAACATCCCTAGTTCAAACAGACTAATGTAGTTCATAAATGCTTATTTGAATCCAATGATAATGTAAACAAACATGTTTATTTCATTTTGATTTTCACATAGGCTGGGACTATGTTCCCTAAATCAGTGGTTTTCAAACAATGGGTTGCAACCGAGTATTGGGTCATGGATTGTCAGGCACTGGATCTCACTGCTGCAGAGTCATCAGGTGCCCATTGGAGGTGCCAAGGCAGGAAACATTGCCTGTCCTGGCACTGCAGACTGCTGCACCCTGGAAGCAGCTGGCAGCATGCCTGGCTCCTAGATAGAGTGTGTGTGTGGGGGGGGAGGAGGGAAAGCGCACGTACACTGTCCCGAACACTAACTCCGAACTCCCATTGATTGGGGACCTGCTGTTGGTTGCTTCTGGGAGAGAGAGGAAGTCTGCCTTAGTACCCCCACTGCATCACTGACCAGAAGCCACTCAAGGTAAGCTCCTTCTGTGTCACCCCTGACATCCCCCTCTAAAAGCTGGAGCTTCCTTCTATACCCCAAAGCTCTCATCCTCACTCAGGAGACCACACTCCAAACAAATTATGTTGGGTGATGGGCATCAATAATTTTCTTCAACTGGGTCAAGAGGAAAAAAAAGTTTGAAAACCACTGCCTCAAGCTACACTGCTCGCTTGAAAGCTTGTAAAATTTGAAAATCCACTAGGGACCAGCAGATTCTAAGATGTCACCTTTTATATAAATTGTGGGGAGAGGGGGACTTAGAAGACTGTTCATGGACTAGGTTAAATGGCTGCTTCTGAAGTAGAAGGTTCCCCCGCCCCCCAGCAATCTCATTTTATCCAAGTGGCAGCAGGGCAGAACATGTGCATCTCTGGCACTGAATAACTGAGCAAAGGAGCTGGCATACATCATACCTTTTTCACTTATTTCTAATTCTGCTTTATTTGTTGGCCTACATGTTTTCTGCATTTTACAAGATGTGTTCTTTGGTGACTGCATGCATGCACGTCCAAATTATGTAGATTTGAAATCCAAATAATTGTTTTAGATTGAAGTGTGACATACAAATATTTCTAAATGTTCCAAAACTTGTAAAAAGTAGTTGTTCCCACCCTCTTCAAAACAGCTAACCACTATTTTCTGAATCTTTTTTTTCCAAAATTTCCCTTTCTGGCCCGCATGAAACTTCACGTGAAAAAGTTATACAGGTTGAACCTCTCTCATTCAGGACTCTCTGGTTCGGCAACATCTATGGTCCAGCAGGCCCACAGATGTTGCTAGACCAAAGAGCCCTTGCTGCAGGGGTTGAGAGCGGCTGGGAGCAGAGCTCCTCTGGTAGATGGCGGCCAGCAGGGCCAGTGGCCCGGGGGTAGAGGAGCTCAGGGAGAGACTGGAGCCCCCCGGGGGACTGGGGCGGGGAACCTGCCCTGTGCAGGGCTGGGGGTGGGAAGCCCCACGAATGGGATGGGGGCAGCAGAATCAGGTAGGTGGGGCCGGAGCTGGTCAGGCCTCTGGGTTCTCCTGGTGAAGCAGCCAGGAGGAGAGTCCTGGGATGGTCCAGACACTGACCTCCCCTGGTCTGGCAAATTCCTTAGTTCAGACTCCAGTCCTGAAGGTGCTGGACCAGGGAGGTTCAACTTGTATAACTTTTAAGGAGTGCTAAATGTACTGGAAAAGCTTTGAATGACAGTACGCAGTGTAGTTGTAGCTGTGCAGGTCTCAGGATATTAGAGAGATGAGGTGAGGTAATTTCTTGTACAATGTAAGATGTTCTCCACCTTATCTATTGAATGAACATGTTTCCTTGGTAACCATAGAGTTACTTTAATATACGTAGTGTTACTTTTGCAACACAAGTTGTGCCTACGGTGTTGTCATTTCATCCTGTTAGCTCTTCTGAGTAGATAAGTTGTATGGTGGTGGAGGGTGCCATTGTGTTTATATATTTATTAAAGAAAATTAGTTACATCCTGACTGGATTTGTGCAATTGTGGATTTTTGCCCTTATGATTAGAGCCTTGCAAATCCATGGGTATACACATCCGTGCAATGCAATTATCAGCTTCTAACTTTTTTGCAGATAAAGATGCGGATACAAATGTTGTACTGTATCTAGAACTCAGCAAATGTGTGGATATCCACAGGTATTTGCATCCATGGCCCTACTTATGGTAGCTGTTTCAGCTTTTGTCAGCCTTTTTCCTCCAGTATTTATGAGTATCTCATAGGCATTTCTTGCACGCTGACAGTATTTGGTAGTAGCTGATTTTCATCTTAAGAATACATTAACATAAGCTCTTCATTACCAGGGCTGCTTGTGTATTTCAACCTAAACTATTTGGATTTCATTTTTGAATGGGAAATTATTTAAAGGTAAATACAACTTCAGGTATAAATTACATTTTATTCTGTAAATTGAGTTATTCAAGATAATTTCTCCCATGTCAGCAACAGCATCATATCTGTACCCTTATAAATACAGGGTTTCCTTTATTTTTAAAAAAAGGAAAGGGGAAAAAAACAAGAGCAACAGCTGAAAAGAAACTTCATGATGGTCCTCCATCTTCTGCTGATTGTCAGATATGCCCATATCATTTAATAAGTCCCATTTCCTGTTTGAGACACAATTGTAAGTGACTATGACATTGTTTATATGGAGTCACATTTTAAGAGGTAGTAAGCCTATGCCACTTTTTTTGTCTTGAAAGTAGGAGTTGTCACTGCTCCCCTTCTTGCCTTCCTTTTCTGTTATACTGGGCAATGATTTCTCCTCTGGTTCAAAAAGTTGCAGAGTTAATGTTGGTACACGAATATATTACCAATAAACAAACTATCTCTGCTGCAGCCATAACTGAAGTTTGTAGTTTTCAGTTTGAGCAGACTTATTGATGTTGCTTTACACGCCAAGTTTTAATTCTTTTCTGAATCTGAAAGGTAATCAGTAAGTTCTCTTGTGGTTCCTCTTAAAACTTTGCATTATTGAAGTGCCATTGGTTCTTGAAACCAAACACTGGAAAGAAAGAATGAATACACAAACAGTGGTTTTAGCTATTCACTGATCTGTCTTCATTGCGCTTCCCTTTTTCCATATTTAGTGTTTGCTATTAAAATGAATGAAACATTTATAGTAGAAATATCAATGGATTCTAGTCAAGAAATGGTTACCATTTGTGCTGTAAAGTTTGTTTTTTGAAAGGATTGTTTCTGAATAGAGGTAGTCGCTACATTTGAGAGAGATACTGAAGGGATACATATTTAGTAAGTAAATGAATTATTAGTTTGATATGAACAATATTTT